GAGAAATCACGAGAGTAAATATTATGTGTCTTAGCAGTTCCAGCATGATCATCAGGATTCGTCTGGAAGAAAGGACCCTTATGGTAGTATTTCTGCATGAACCTCCGCTTTCGCTTGGATTGTCCAGTAGGCTTTGGATTCTTTCTCTCCCACTCCCTCCTCTCTTCCTCTGACATGCTTCTCACCCTCTCAATCTCCTCCTTCTCCCTCAACATTGGCTCTTTGTCATCTCTATCCCCCTTGATCCTAGCAATCTCTCTGGCCTTCCAAGCCTCAAGTTATTATAATCCCCGTTTGACAACAATTATTTTCAAACTTTTTTCTTTTACGTACACATTTTCAACCACACTTTTACATAATAAAATATTCTACACATAAACTCAAATTTTTTCATACTTTTTAATCATACATTTTTCTAATAGTCACTATTCAAAGCCCTATTTTCTCTGAATAATGTTTGTCAAACATGAGGTAAATGTGATCACCCCTCAATAATTTTGTAATTTATTAATTAATTAAATAGGTCAATTGTTACACTAACACAATTTATAATTACATCATTTATGAGTTATAAATCGCACAAGATTACAATAATAAAAACACAAATTGTGAGTTAGAATTATAAATTTAGTCACAAATCATACATTTTTTAGGTGACATTATTTATTGGTTACAAATTTATTATTTTATTGGTTGCAATTATTCAAATAATTGAACACTATAGCTCTTTATCACACTCTACACTTCACCACCACTTGCGCCACCTAATAGGTCACACCACCTTACCACCATCTCCATCGACATCATCGCACCACCACCACCACATCCTCAAATCCACAATCACCTCAACCTGCACCTCCACCACACCACCACTTGTACCTCCACCACAACACAGCTCAAATTGCTGGAGATCGCTCCACCCAAATTGCAAATTGCACCACTCAGATTGCGCCAGTCCATGAACCCTTATTCTTTCACATAGACACAAGTTGCACAATCCAGATTGCTAGAGATTGCTCGCTAGCGCTCAACGGCGTTCAATGATTTTGGAGATCTCTCACCATGTAGATTTCAAAGGTGGCGTCTAAAGATAGATATTCGAGCAAAAGGCACGACCTAGCAACAATGTCGGCCATGGACGATGCAAAGAAAGATAGTGAGTACAGACTTGTGTGCCAATCCATCACAAGGTGTGAGAAGGGAAGATGGTGGCTAGTTTTCGTGAACGATTGTCTAAATTGTGAGTGTGATCAAATGGATTGTGCGGTAGATAGAGAACAGAGAGATATATTATTTTTATCATTCAGCTAATTTTTCGTACATATTATCATGTTTTTCTTAGTTCAGTAGATTGAGGTAAACGGAGTCCCATTAAACTTTAGATAGAGAATGAACACTTAAATCTTTTATCTATTGAGAAAGAAATTTCGTTATATACTTAGTCATATAGTAAAAGAGTGCCGGCAAGGTAAGAGTCAAAAGCTATTATGAGAAAATACGATACAGTAGTCAAAATGAATAAGCATGTCCGACACTTCGAAAAGGGATGGAAGAACTTACAAAGAGGGCTGAAATCTATGCAAAATTTAATTTAAAGTCAAAAGCTATTATGAGAAAATACGATACAGTAGTCAAAATTTACAGTTACTATTCTGAGTGTATTTTAAAAATAACTTGTTTGCTAGCAAAAATGAGGATAAAAATTCTGCACTCCCACTTCCCATCATCTTATAGGTGATGTCTTTAGAGACAACAGACTATTCAAATGTGAAATCCTTGAATTGGCATCCCGGGACGGGCCAAATACTTCCCAGAAATGAAGAGTCTCGTTCGCTCCAGCAGACACCACAGTTAGTCCATCCGGGCTCTGTAACAAATAAATCAGATGAATGAAGGTTTTAGAACATTTCTAATACTCACCCCAATATTAAGAAAGAAACAAAGTTAAATTCATCTCAATGTTTGAAATATTCAGACCTGGGACAAATGGAGAACTCTTGATGTATGATTCATTGACCCACCAATTTTACACATTGAAGGGTACTTCCACAAACACAACTGGTTTTGACACTCGTAGCCAAAGCCGTGACCACTTAATATCTCTTGATGATGCTTGTTCCATTGCAACCCACTAATCTGTTCATATAACATCAAATAATTTTAGTCCGAGCAATACAATTTTACAGATTAAGCCCAAACCTTGGTTTTGAGAGCATAATAAACAAACACAATCAATCACAAAAGAAACAAAGCACACGCGAGAATTTTTAGTGGTTCACCCTCAGTGTCA